TCAAGCTAAACAGATTGCCTTGAGGGTTTTTACTACTTTGTTTACATGATTTAGCAGCATTTTTATCAACCTTCTGATTCAGCTCTGATCCCTCTCAAATTTATCAACAGCCCCTGAAATTGCAGCTACTGCTGTTCAATACTGTCAAAGGGAGAGGACAGAATTTTGCTCATTCAAAAACCATGTTAGCCCTTTCAGATCTAGTATCCCACTGGAGCTGCGGTGGAGCTGTCTGCTCATTTGCCACAACGTCTCCTTCCTTCCTTGTATCTTCCAAAGCCACAAAGATTTAACAGTAATATTTGCACAATACTTCTATATTAAACTCTTTTGATGTTTACTACTTAATTTCTCAGCTCAATTCTTGGGGAAAATGACGCACCAAACTTCTAGAGCAATAGAAGTGGTACACAAATTAAAAAGCATGACAGAGCCTTGATTTGGAAAGTTGAGTGTAGGTGTTGCTGGTACCTCACAGGTAGCTGCTTGGCTACCTTCTAAAGCTGCTATGTGGTGTTTGATTGTATGAACCAGTATTGTATTTTTTACTCAACAAGAAGCTTCTTTTTAATGCATCCTTTGAAATAAATAAAAAATATTCCTGAAGATTTTAGAATACAACCATTTCATTAGTATCTTTGAACTTCTTAGTTGACTTTTTTTTTTCTGCTTAATATTTTGATTGTAAGTCTACAAGTAATCTAATTTATCAGTAACAAAAATATGACATTTTCAATTCAGGAAATGGCATAGTTTACCCAAAGTCTCACAGACATTTGTTATTACCAAGCGGAATTTTCAATGTTTTGGTGAATGTGAGCAGTACTTAGAACTTTTAATTCCTAGACTTCACAGCCATTGGTAATCATCATTATTACTCTAATTTATAGATGAGGAAACTGAGTCATTAAGGGATGAAGCGATTTGCCCAAAGTGCACAGTGAGTCAATAGCAGAGCTGGGAATAGAACACAGAATTCCCTGCCTTATCCATTGGAGTCCTCAGATAATATCATTTTGTAAATGCTCTATCTTTGTAAAGACTTCAGTGCTATAATTATCTTCCCAGGACTCTCATGGAAACAAGATATTTATAACTCTATTAAGCCTTTCCTAGTAATTTTATGATCAAAGTGAAAAAAAAAAATAAGGCTGTGCCAATCAGTTGCATGTCCAATGTCATTTAGAATGGCTACTTGATGAAAGCTTCTCCTTGGTTGTTTCAATTAAAAGCTTGCTATCTTTTGAATGCCTTGCTTGTGTCTAATTCCCCTTCCACTGCATACCAGCGGAGAGGAAATATTTTCTGCCACGTGATGAGCCACACGTTTAGAATGTACCAAATAACTGGGAAAGATGCTTGCTGCCAGTGAAGCCTCCTGTTTTGTGCTATTAATGTAACTGTTTAAAAAAATGTCCTTCCTAAAAGCGCTTCATGTTTGCCAGTTTCATCTAAAATGAACAGAGCCACCTCAGTATTTCTACTAACCCTGTATGCCATAAAATCACATCGCAGATGCCAAGACTCACTGCAAACAACTGGTTAGCAAGCAAGGCGTTTGCACCCTGATTCAGCAAAGCTCTTAAGCTCTGCTTAAACTGAAATCCATTCTTACTGTGCAAATCAATGAAGTGTTTGCTTAAGGCACAACACAGGCTTAAGACACGTTTTGCTTGGCACAAGTCCGTAAGCAGAGCACAGCATGAGGGCCTTCAAACTCATCCGCTTGATTTCTAAAGGAAGTCATTATTTTTAGCTAACCTCTCAATGGCCACAGCCCCGTCTTTGAGTCCTCAGATATCTCTTTTCAAGAGATATATGTGCTAAGCCCAAACTTGTGGTTTCTGTGACAATCAGCTGCACAGAAAAGATAGAATCTTGTCACCAGTGTAAGTAAAGAAACTGCTTGAAATACTTGACCTCTAAGCACAGATGAGAGGGACCTTCAGGGAGGGTCATTAGAGGGAAGACATAAAAGAAGCTGAGATTATTCTGGGAGGTGCTGGCTGATGTGGAGTTATCTTTTCACCACATGGACCTGAGAAGATTCACTTGCAGTAGGTCAACAATCTCAATTCAAACTTTATTTTGATGAGTTTTCTGTCAGAAGCTGTTTTTTCACAGGAAATACATGATCTCAATGCAAATGTTTGTAGCTTCCTCAAAAACATCAGAAATATTTTGCTGCAAGATGATACTTTTTTTTCCTGAAACTCTCCTCGGTTATACAACAAGGTTCAACAATTATTGAAGGAAGTTCTAATTTAAAGAAGTTTTATAGCACACTTCTCATAACTCTAGATTTCCTTTCTGTCTTTAAGAGACTCTAACCACTTGTTTTACCGATTCAGAAAAGAAACTTCTTATTCTCATATGAAGGTAGGTTTGCCTGTGGCATGATTGGAAGGGGAATAACTGCATTTTCTGAGATAGTTTCATGGGCTGCTCCACAAAAATTCTCTTTAATATCCATATTTCATACAGAAGCTAAAAGTGAAAATACATATATATTTTTTTCTGTGAGTTTAAAAATCTTCTGCTTCATATGCCCTTGTGATATTACTATGAATAAAATGTTAAACATCTGTCTCCAAATATAGAGGTGCAGATTTACCAGTCAGGTGAATTTGTGGCTATTACTGGGAGAATTTGCCATAAGAGATTCCTCCCTCCAGCCACAGAGCAAGGCCCAGGTCTGAGGTCCACTGAAGTCAGCACCATCTTTCCCGTGAGTGCGGCCGGCTGCGAGTCTATAATTATAGAGTCTATAATGGTCCGATCCCAAGAGTGAAAGTACTCGACATCATCAGAAAAAAAACCTCAAAAAGGCCCCAAGAAGCATTTCTACACAGAAGAAGAAACAACCAACAAAATTCACAGATGTCCCTGATGTTTCTTTTCTTGGGCTCAGCTAACGGGCAGTCTCTGCTCACACCAAAGAAATTCTTTGCTGCAAGCGCTGGCGTTCACAGCCTGTATTTGTGGCACGTTTCTTCACCCCATTAGCAACCGGGTCCCTACGCGTAAAAAGCTGCCAGGAAGAAAAAGATAAGCTCCTTCCTATGTCCATTTAGCAGAGGATAAGGAGGAACAAACCGATGTGGTAATAAGGGAATTTTATTCTGGACATAAAGAGCTTTCTAATCTTAGGGAGAGCCGGGTAAAAGAACAAATGACCGTGCAGCATCAGCACTGCAGAGCTGTTTTAGGAACAGATCGAGCAAACATTTGAAGAAGTATGATTTAGACTCCGTTAATCTAATCCTGAGCAGGGTATTGTGATGACCCTTAAGATCCCTTTAACACTATCTCCGTGATAAAGTGCATTCATCTCCTCCCCAGAAGCTTCTGAATTACTTCCAGGCAGAAGAGCCCATTTAGCTTTTATCACTTGGCAACCACATTACGTTACTAATTCGCCTCACTTACTTTTTCCACCTAGGAAAGCATGGGAAATGCATGGAGCTGACACGTTACAGGCCACGCACGTAGTGATGGGGCTCCACAGAGACAGAGAGCCAAAAACTCGTTTCTTCAGCTGCTGTTCTATTGCCTTGGTGGTTACAGAAAGCCTCGATTTTCTGCCTGCAGACACCTCACCATCCAGGACAGCAGGACAGAAGGTTCCCCAGGGTTCTCCAGCCTTGGTAAGGGCCACACTGGATGTCTTTTGGGCTCTCCCTGCTGTTACTGCTGCTCTGTGCTCTCTTTCACATGTGCAGGGCCCAGCCTTTCACCACAGCTTGCCCACGGGTCATTCCTACAGGATGTGGTAGCTCCCATGGGCACGAGACATCATCACATTGGGCTTGACAGAGTTAGAAATACACAGAAGCCACACCAGAACCGTGCCTGCTTTGAAGACAGATCAGAACCCAAGTGCATTAGCAAATATTCACAGTTGGTTTCAAACGCTTTTTATTCACTCTAACCAAACAGATGCTGCCTTTTATGTTATACTTTCTCTTTAGGGATCTTTTACTTTAAGGTCAAACTTGCCACTTCATATTTTTTGGGGGGGCGGGAGGGGAAGGAAGCAACAAATTAAATAAACATAAGATTAACAAGAAATACGTACTGGAAAATAAATTTTTATCTACACAGATTTACAAGATCTGACCAGATATCTGACCAGATATTGAGGACATTTCCAAATTTTAAAATAAAAATGTATGCTTTTGGGTTATGACCACACATGGAAAAAAAAGGAAGAGTTAACAGTTACTGAAGGGATTCTGAACAGCAGTTCGGAGTGGAACTCTTGCCAAGTTAACCATCATGAGCTGATTTAGAATCCATTTCCAACCACAAAAAAACATTAAAATCTGTAAAATTGACATATATAGGACTGATATAAGCCAACCAATTTATGCATTAAATTAATTGATGTATATTATGAATGTTATTCTGTTTTCACTGTTGTTAAAAGTCCATATGTGTTGTCTTTGAAAATACTTCCAAAATGATGAGTAATCTTTACTTAAAAGACTAAAAATATATAACAGCTCTTACGGAATATGAAATCTGACAGCAGTTAAAGTGTTGATATCTGAACTTATCTGACAGCTCCCTGGAACAACTTTTACTAGACACTCTTTATAGGATTAAATATTTTTAGGTCTGTGCAAGTTGTTCTAGAAGTCAGGTTAGAAGAAAAGCAAAAATGTTTCAGAACTTCGACAAACAATTCCACAAATGCCAATGGCCTTCTTGCAGTGACTGTTCTTTAGGAGCCAAACACTGTGATGAACTTTTCACTCCATGGACTGATCCTGAATCCTGTGGAGCAAATGAAGCCCAGTGGATATTTCCAGTGGGATCTGTTCTTCACGTTGGCGTGGCGTAGTGTATGTACAGCGCTTGAAGTTAAGACTTCCCTTAACGTCTTAACGGTTCTTAACTGTGATAATATGTATTTGGACATGCAGGATATTCCAGAAAGAAGCAGCTCAGTGGCCCATTCGTCGGACGGTGGCCAGCAAGGGAAGGTAAGTGGCCAAGCTGGTCAGCTTTCACTCCCGGTGTTTATACTGGACCCGGAATGGCGCCATGGGTTGCTGTGTCCCCACCAAGTGTAAAGGGCTCTGCAAAAAGCAGAAGAGCAGTAGATACATTTAATAGTTATGTTTAACCAACATTTAAATGTTAGATAGTCAAAAGAATTATCTTAGTTTACTCATATTGTTACAAATACAGTTTCTCAGAGCTTTAATCTAACAGACTAAAGACCCAATCCTGAGAGGATTTCTTAGCTCCACTGAAGCCATTGAACAGGGCCTTTATGACTGCTCTTGTTTCACTTGCTCTGACAGAGGATGGTATATGAGACCTTGTGAAGTTCTACTGACTTTGAATGGTCTTCACTGACACAATTTTCTGTGGATGCAGACCCACCTTACCATCTACTCCAGTGAGAACAGATATGACAGCAAATGATCCGTCAGCAAGAGGTAACTTTCATCCCCATTTTGGGTGGACTTCCTACTACTGCTTGAGATTAACATCTCATGTTCCTTCAGGAGAACAGAGGAATTGAGTTCTCCCAATTTTCCACTTAAAGAACAACTCTACAGAGCCCATGTCACTCCAAACACCTCCTTCTTCTCCTTAGTGGAACATGCTAGGTTGTGACATGTAGGTGTGTGCATTTTGCAGAGCTCATGTTTGTGAGGAACACAGCTTTCTGGAAAGCAGAAAGGACACAGTGCAAAACTACTGCACAGAGAGGAAGTACACGGGAGACCATGCCACCCTCTTACGTGTAAAACCCCTCTGCACCACAGTCACTCCTTCAGTCTCATCCCAATCTGCTCCTCTTCCGCCACTGAAAATGCAGGTAAGGGCACTGCTAGCACTACTTTGAGATCACTGCCTCTGATTTCCTGTCAGCTTAAAGATATTATTGATCCAATTCCATATTCATTGCTTTTGTGAGTCGCAGAAAGCAATGAAAAGCCTCTTAAAATATTTAGGCAATGATGAGACAAAATACTTTATTCGACGCGTTCTTTTATACATGGAGCAGCACAGTTAGCATCACGGGAGCCATGCTGGATTTTCTGAGTAAAAACAATGTCAGAATTATTCATTGTATGTTTTATAACACTCCTGACAGCATTTTGCTTCCTTGTAGGTAAGCAGAGTTGAGCATGGCTGTTCAGCTGAGCATCACGAATGAAGGATTAAAAGATGTGGAATGTTAAATAAAGGCACAGATCATTTACCGCCTTTGGTACTGAATCCAAAAGAACAAACTCATATTTGTATAGGAAAAGCACAACGAACAACTGGATTTCCATGATAGCAAACCACCTGCAAGAAAAGGGAGAAAAATGGTGAATGTCCATCATGCCCATAGAACATGTGCTGTTAGCAGGGAAGAAGCAGGATCTCTTTTGCACATTTTGCATTCCATGCTTTAGTTCTGCCTAAAAGTTCACTTCCAATAGGAAAATCAGGTGTGGTTTTGTTCTGCTTCATTGGTCAGTGAAAAGCATGAATGTAGGAGCTGCCCCTTCTTTCCAGTGAAATTTTAGAACTATTTTATCTCTCTGACACCCTATCTTAAAACAGATCCTTTTCATTATGTTTTTTTTCCACAGTGTACACATTTATGTTCCTCTAACACTTGCTGACTTGAAATAACTTCATAGGAGTTAGAGGAAAGTCAAATATAGAAAAAGCTATATGACTAATTGTGCTATATAAAGTTATATAATACAGCTGGGAGCCTGATGACATCAGAGGAGCTGTGACAGTGGGAGTTGTTATTTAATGTGTCAGCATTAGAATGCAGTATGAGACCCAAGGGGGTGATTTTTTTATCTGTAACACAGTCAGAAAGCTCTTCCTTAGCCAGTCTGGGGAAGATCCCAGATGACCACAGGTGAAGTCCTCTAGAGTCTAGACCCTTGTTTTTTCACTTCAGAGACATGTAAGAACTTTCTGCGTTCAGGCACTAGTTCACACTTATGTCGAGTTATAGGATTACTCATTTGTGGAATTTAGACACGTCCTGAATACTGTAACAGTACCTTGCTCTTTCTACATAGGTAATTTTCCATTATCTGAGAGATCCTGGAGAACTTGGATAAAACACAAACTGGGCAATTCACTGTGGAGAAGACCACATGATTTCACAAGATGTCAGTCTGGGTTTGTCCTGACAGATGCGAAGGGAAGGTAATAAACCCCAAGAGACCCAGGGCAGCTCCTGCAGAGCCGTTCGGACCTCTGTGCTCCGGAGCAGGAGGATGTGTGTTTGCTTTGGCACAGCTGCAGACCCCAGCTATGTCTGTGATTTCACATTGCAGGTACCTCGAGATAGGGAGCATCTTGTGACCTTGAGCCTGCAGCACAGAGACATGTGGATCAAAATGAGTTCGGGCAGGTCTCAGGCCCAGCTCAATGCCAGCAGCACCGCACGAGGATGGGCTTCCTCCTGTCACTCCGCGTAGTGCTGCTAAGGGCTCCTCGTGTGAAGGTGCTGAATTAGCTTGGACACACCAAGCTGTGACACCAATGGGACCAAGTTGCTTGTTGAAGGTGTGTGGAGGCAATCAAACTGCCTCCAGGTGGCCCTTCAAGGGGAAGACCTGCTCTTTGAGGGCTCTCCTTCAAGGCTGGATGTGCGCTAAGCAGCTCCGACAGCTCCGAGTGACCTCTCTGCGACTGGGTTAATCTGCAGTTAATCTGTAGTTATCCTACTCTGCAAACAGAGCTGCTGAGACACAAGGACAATCCATGGCTTGCCAGGAGGCCACATCTTCCTCCATAAGAGGAAAGCAGGATTGCTGAGTCCCAGACTTCCCATGAGCTTTCCTGCAGCTGAATGCTCCTTAGGTCCTACTGGTTTCTCATATTCATGATTGAGTTCTACAGCAGTTTTCCCTTAAAAATTCTGAGTCACTCACGTCTTCCTGTTTTATTTAGTGACAAAGGGGCTTCACAGGGGAAATACTCCTTAAAATATTGTGTACAATGCATTACTATGTATTTGTGCCATAATGCAATCTAGGAGCCTAACTATGGAGATCTTGCAGTAAATGGATAAAATCAAAGTAGTCAAATTAGTCTGAGAATAAAATCAGAGCTGTTGTGCGGAAGGATTTATATTTGCATCATATGATAGCAAACAACAGAGAGATGTATGTGAGATTATTCCAGTCATACAGGTGACAGTTACCTGGTTAGACAAAAGTCTTGTGGCATGATTTGTTACCAAACCTCTTCCCTAGGTAATGAAGAAGATAGGGTGGAAATGGATTTGTGGGAACTCTTCTCATGTCAGTTTGCTAGAATATTTAACAAGTACGTTATTTCCTAGCTTTAATTAAATTAGCATTTAACTTCATGCTGAACTTTTGAGCAGAAAATGTCAGTACACAAAATGCCAGTATCAAATTAAATGAAAAATCACCTTTAACTTGAAAAAATCTTGTTTGGCTTAATTATACCACGGAAATCTGCAACCTGGAGCCTAGATACATCCTTTTATTTAATTTCCTTTTTTTCCAGGGCCACTTGGAAAAATCATTTTAGCATTATTAGTGGTGAAACACAAAAGCATATGTTACCATGTGGCCTGGTAAAAGGGTCTGACAAGACTTTTTGTTTTTCAGCAAATAAAAGATCCTGTGTAGAACATTCATCAATTTCTTTTTGATCACAAGCTTATTTTACAGCTAGTAGCTGAATTCAGAGAACAGCCTGAACCAAGAAATAGGTCAAACATTCCTCAAACATATACAAGCAAACAGTGTTCAGCAATATTGTTTTGCAGCTTGTCCTGCACCTGCGGACGTCTCCTGTGAATTCTACCACTGCCATTTCTGGGAATGAGGCTGTGCTTGTATTTAGCAAAGGAATATGGTAAAAGTCATAGAGGCAGAGCAGTGAGTGAGCACTTTCCACTGACAAGCCTAAATGGTGAATGCAGTTTTACTGCTGGAGCCTGTGTCTTTAATATCTTCACAAAATGTCTCTAACATTCCTAGCTTGCTACATGGTGCAGAAGAACAGAGATCCTCTGGGACACCCTCTGGATTCCTCACTGCAGGTGGGACTTAAACTAACTTGTTTTAAGATTTCTTGGTTATTGGTTCCTAGAAGAGGTCGCGTTTGAATGTAGAAATGTCTCAACACAGAAAGAAAGGAGCAGCTCCCTGGGACTTGTTCCAGGAAGAGAGACAGCAGAGAAAACAGCAGAAAGATTGCAAGAAACATCAAGGTTGGCACTGCTGGAGACCAGAGGCACGTTCTGGGATTTAAGCCTTCACACAATTGTGTGGCCCTTGATGCAAAAAAGAAGAGAATTAAACACAGTGGAACAGGTTAGGGCTTCTGATGATCAGCAGAGATGTTACTGGCATCAAGGAGGATGAGAAGAAACTCTTGGACCAAAGAAATGTTCATTAGATTAGTTTGTGTTTTATGGCAACCTAAATGCTTTTGTGTATAAAGTAGTGTGCTTGTAACTGAAAAGGTGCCCCAGGAACAGCAAAGCCAGGCTGATTTTCTTCCCTGTGGGGAAAAGCCCCAGTGTATCTCTCTTTTGATACACTAGTCTCAGATTCTGCTTTTATATCATGGCTTAAGCTGCCTTTTCCAGGAATAAAACCACTTTCAAATCAGTTTAGGCAAGGCTCAGATTAATTCTGAACATTAGGGGGCTAACAGAGAGCAAAGCAATGAAAATACTTTATCTCTAAGTGTAAGAGGAGCCCAGTTCGAGAGAGCTGTTCTTTGCAGGGTTTAGGAATAAATAAACCCCAGCTGTTTCACTGACCTTCCTGGACACTGATGCTTCCCTCCTCCGAATGCCACAAAGCTGTCCAAGAAAGCATTCTTCTCTAAATTTGCCTCTTTCCAACGATCCTGTGGGAAGAAAGTTTTTTTTTTCCCAAATCAGCCTTATATAAATAAAGCTTAACTTTATTTCTCCAGGCTAAAAATGATCTTGGACAGCTAATCCTCAATACAAAATCACACTAATGCCTTTTTTTTATTATTATTACTCAACCTGTTATGGTTAGAATTTGGATTCAAAAATCAGCACTCTCTCAGGGAATGACATGAGGTCTCCATTTTAAAGATACTTGGGTGCCTCAGAGTTCTGGAGAGGTTTTCAAAATCAGCCACAAGTAGACATTCATCCTATCCCTCCCTCATCTTCTAAATCCTGTATTTTGAGCTGTTGAAATACCTGTAAAAAAGTGGTCCTTTTACTTTTAAACATAAGTACATTCAGAAAGTACATGCAAAAATGACTTTGACCAGTGTTTTCTCTCAATCCCAAGCTAGTACCACAACACATAACTCCTGTATGTCCTTCCTACATACTAGGACCATTTCTAAGACACTGTGCACAGACAAATGCATCGTATTTCAGTTGTCACATGAGAAAAGACAAGGATTTCACAAAGTGAATGAGCCCAAATAAAGAAGGATTTAGCCTGCTTGAGAGGTGTGTTTCGCCTGTGAAGTTAAAATGGTGAGAAGCAGAGATGGGCACAAAAAAGCCACTGAACTCTTAAAACAGCCTCACTCAAGCCACTGTGTGAGAAAATGCACTATTCCCTACTAAAATTAGCGTGCCTGTACCCAGGATGGCTTCTTATTTCATCCTCACCTGTTTTAACAAAAAAAAAGGAATAAGAAGTAGAGCAAGGCAGTACGGACTAGAATTTGGGTGGGCTAGTATTGACAAAAGTCAATCTCTTGAGCGCTGGGTGACAAACTATACCAGCCTCCTATACCTATACTCAGGACAACTGAACCAAGGCCTTCAAGTTACACCCCTGTGAACTTTCTTGTAGTTATTCCTCTGACAAACCCATCTTTAAAAAGGCGTAATTTTATATATATGTATTTTTTTTTCTTTTTTGGTCATCTTAGACCATTCAGAGCATTCTGAAGGGGAAACCTGTTAATGTCAAAATCTAGTCAAAGCAAGATAAGTAGTTCAGAGGTGACAAAACAAAGCAATACAATTTGCAATATCCAAGGGGGACTGCCATATTCTACTGGAAGAAGGATGAATTTCTAAACAACGATCTATCTTTATTTTTTCTTCAAATAAAGTTATCAAGTGAACGGAAAAGGACAGGATCTCAAACTGGTGAGGACTATGCTAGAAAGGAAGTTTTATTTTAATTACTCCTTCATATATTTCTAAAAAAAGACAAACAGATAGTGCTAAAAAGAGCAGTTAGAAGCCTGCCCACACAGCCACCTGGAGTGGAATAATAAGGAAGAAACTCTAGATGAGCTACTGAATTAGCAGAGTTAATACCCACCAGAAATCATCTGACTGGAAGGACCAATGAACCTGGGTAAATACATGAAGATGAGATATACAAACAAATGCCAGGTAGAGGAGAGCACTTGGAGCTTGGTTCAACAGTGAAGTCAGTGGAGTCTTTCCTTGATGGGCTTTGAATCAAGATCAAAATTTTATCACTTTATTCATATATATATGTAGATATTTATGTATATATAAAATCCAGAACATATCCAGAACAACCTTAGTCTTGCTTATTCCTTTTCCATCGATTTCTCTGTATATGAGGTCATGTTCCTTCAGAGGATGGTAAATACTGAACTTTAAGCAAACTTGACTGTATACTTTAGGTGTGAAATACGTGAAAAAGAGAAAAGACAGAAAAATAACAACAATGAGAAGAAAAAAACTCTCTACTCACAGGTTTGAACATTTCTGGATCAGGAAAATATTTTGGATTCCTGTGCAACCAATATGGAGACAACATCAGCATGTCACCTGCAGGAACATTGAAATTCTGAAAAGGAGAAGCAATTTTAAATCAAGGTAGAAAACTTATGTTGAACTCACAAAACATTCCCTCCTTAGTTCTGTTTCAACAGGAGAAAGTCCTGAGTCTCTCTGCTAGCTTAAATTATCTAGAACTACTAAGAGAGCTCTTTCCAGAAGAATCATATAATATTCTTTTGGAAAACAAACAAGCAAGACTCTTCTTCTTAACAGTGAGGGTGACAGAGCACTGGAACAGGCTGCCCAGAGAGGTTGTGGAGTCTCCTTCTCTGGAGATCTTCAAAACCCGCTTGGACGCAGTCTTGTGCCACGTGCTCTAGGTGACCCTGCGTGTGCAGGGGGTTGGACTAGATGATCTCTAGAGGTCCCTTCCAACCCTAAGCATTCTATGATTCTATGATTCTATGAAAAACACCTCACCTGAATTCTTATTGGATTTACTACTTTCTTGGTGATTGCTCCTGGCGACCTCAGCCGAATGGCTTCCAAAGTGCACCACTTAATAAAAGGGAGCTTCTTAAGATCATCTCCAGAGACTTCTATTTTATCTTTACCTGTTGTAGATTGAGGAAAAAGGTTCTTTGTAAAAATTAGATTTCATACTTACTTTGAATTGCATTGACATATCTTGTTTTAGAGCTTCTAACAGAATACCTCAAGACTTAGGACCTTGTCTTCATCCAGAGATTTTTCTATTTCTGAGTAAATACATAGATCAAAATTTGTACAATTTAAGTCCATTTTGGTTAAGGAATACCTTTGAAGATGATTTTAATAACAGCTAAATAGCTGTAGGTATGGCCTTGGCCAGCCCAGGTCAAACAAAGCTCATCTTGGAAGTTATGCACCTCTGGATTTTTTTAGTACTTGGGTAGGATACTATCTCAGGGACCATAGGCACCAAGATGAAGAGTCATGGTGAAGCTCTTGGGTTACACTGATGCTAGTAAATAAGAGAGAGACAGGGGAAAAGTTCAAACATTGCTTCATGATTATCCATACTGTTTAATTAATGGCATTTTTCCTGACATGGTTTTGATCCATGTTAATTAAGAGTCTTCCGCAAAAGTCTCAACATGGTTCAGGCAACTGCAAGTGGATGACTGCTCCAACAGTGACTGTTTTGAGGGAAAGAATTATTAGACGCACTGGAGTGAATCATGCTGGACCAGCTGGCCACAGATGAAAGAGAACGGTTCCTGGCCTGCTTTTTTCAATAGGATAGTTGTAACTCTGGTGAGTTACAACTCACTACACGAGTTTTCATAGTTTACATGCCATGAAATGCAGCTGAGCTAGAAATTGACTCCATCACAGATATGTGAAAAGAAGTATGAGACTGGCTAACACAAAACTAGCTCTAAGTGGTAGGTGTGGAATGAGCTGATAAATGCATTCTTTTTTTCCCCCCTACCTTATTTTGCTAATATCAAAGGTGGTTATGCATAGAAATAAGCCATTAGCATATGATGAGTAAAGAACTCACAGCTTGACCTGTTGTTATCAGTAGTTCCCTTAACAGCAACATTCAAAATTCCCAGCCAAGGACCAAGTGTGCCATATGCTGGGCCAATGGGGAAGAAAACATTTCCAGGTTCCCAAAGAGCTGGTTTATTACCTGCTTTGCCAAAAACAGAAGCCAGGTCTTCCATGATTTTCTTGTAAATAGACGGATAGGACAATATGAAAGCAAGGGTCCAAAATGCAATCTAAACAGAGATGCAAGTACTTCAACTCAGGAAGGCAGAACTAAATTACAGCTTGTAAGTATGTCTGTAGCCAGACACTGAGGCAGGTGAAAACATTTGCACTTATTTGTATGTGTCTGGTGTTGTTGAGATACACAGAGAACTGTATTTCCTGGTAACATCCACATGTAGGATAATACTGTAGAACAGATGACCTCTACTGATTTGCTAGAACTGTAATATTATATAAAGGAATTTAGAAAGAAAGACTCTGGATTATGCATCTCATTTTTATCCCACTTCCTCTTCTAATCAGGCCAAGACAGAGGATAATAACATGGTATGCAAATCTGATCTATGTTTTAAATGAAGAGAAAGAAGGTAAAACTTACGGGCAAAGAAATCCCATCTATCACACATTAACAACTACCCCGGTACAAAATGTGTACTGCTCTCAGTTACCCTCAGTTGTTGGGGGTGTGAATTTACTGAGAACATCTGTCCTTGTGTCTACTCAAATGCCCCAAGAGAGAAGGCTACAGTGACAAGGGCTGGATGTGGAGCTCTCCTCCTGCACAGGCGTTACCCTGCTGAATTCAATTGTAATATTAGGCAAGTAACCACTCAGTAACAGGAGCAGAGGGCTCAGCTCCTGGGAGATTAGGTCTGGTCATCTGCTGTGTACTTACAAATTCCTCCTCAGTGAACCTTACACAACTTCTGCTTTGAGCTTTGAAACACAAAAGCTTCTTTCTAATTTCAAACAACTAGATGGTAAAATTGATTCCTAAATTAGAGTCATTGTATGTGATTAGATTTAGCAGCCTGAATGGAAAAAAAAATAAGTAGTGGATTCCTACTAATATTAACAGAAATGAGGTTAAATAATTTGCAGAGCACTGTCACTGTGACTCATACTGAAATGGGCAGGAGAAGTTTTAATTAACAGTAAAAGAAAGGGTAGTATATCCCCTTTAGAAATAATTTGCTAACTGATTATGCAATGAAGTTGAAAATCAAGAAATTTAGGAAAAGAGAAAATCCTCTTAAGCAGGATGAAATCAGAAGGACTCCTAGCACTGCCAGGAGTATTTCTTGCCAGCTAGCAAGAGACCTAGTCTGCACACAGATCTGGTCATGGGCCATCTGTGTGGATAGGGGATGAGAACTCCTACTGTTATTACACAAATAGTCCCACACTGATGCAAATCTACTTCTGTAAAACAAATCTGGTAGCTTGTTTTTCTTGTACAGCAGTTGAACAGTGTGTCTTCACTGTACGAGTTGAGGAAGGGTAACTGCATTGTTTCAGATGAAAGGGTTTAACTTGTGAAAATCCCCTTTGGAAGGTGAAAGGTCTCTTTTCATAATTCCAGTCACCAGAACAGCGGCTTGTGACTATTCTGAGAAACAACGAAATATCTGTATGTCTATTTACAGCAGAATATTACAGAAGTAAGTAATGATAGCATTATGGAAGGAATGTCAGTTATCCTGATAACACACAACAGGCTATGCTTCTCACTTATACCAACAAGTAAATCCACAGACACCCCAACAAAATTATTTCAGAGTAAATTGTAGCAATATCCAATTTACAAAAAGTAAAGAAACATCTACTGGCAGTACCTATAAAATAACTCATTATCATACTTGTTTTTTAATCACATTTGTAACAGACATAAGTATGCTGCAATGAGCTTACTGCCATGGCAAATAAAAGATGGTTTTGCTGCTACGATTTTTTCATTTGAGAAATTCTTATATATGCATTAGGTTAGCCTAATTCATTTAGATATTTTGGGATTGTTAGCATACATCTCTCTGCATCATTAATCCACCAAATTCATTTATAAGGCTGTCAAAACTCAAATGCCAACAGAAACAAACTGTTGCCTTTCTTCCTCTGAAGCAGTAGATATTTGTACAGTAAAGTACTTAAAGTGAAACAGCCAAATTCACTCATGGAATAGAGTTCTTCATTCTCAGTAGACTTACACAGGTAAGGTTACCCTTGTATTATGATTTTGATATTTTTATAATTGGGAATGTCAGAAAATTCAAAATAGATTCTCTACTATAAAAGAGAGACAGTGTTTCAGAACAAGAGCTAAATGCTTTTCACAGCTTAGTATTCTGATCTTAATATAAGAAATAAATTCTTTCATATATTCATATGTATGGAAGATATGTTCCTGAAATGTTGTTATGATAGGGGACAGTACAACTTAGGAAAAATAGAAGAAAAGTTCTTGTCATTGTTTCTGCGACATTACAACCTGGGTCTATTTGTAGTGATCTATGTGGGTGTGATAATCCTGTCTTTGGAATATATGCAGTGTGTGACCTCTGGTTCAAAGTCTTTGCTTCCCAAATATAGGCTTTTAAACAAGAAATAGTTGTTTCTACAGCTGATGTACTTACAGGGATAGCATTTGCTTGGGAAGCCCACAGCATTAAGAGGCCATAACTGGGAGCCAGATGTCTTCCCTGTAAATTATCCAGGAGATGTTGCAGTAGTGTCTGATAGAATTGGAAAAATGATTATGTGAACTTCTAAAAATATATTAAAATATAGCACAGAGTAGGGCTTACCAAAATGCAAGGACATAACAGTAGTTTATCAAAGAGAAATAATGTTAATTATCAGCTGTTTGGGCTCAAAAAGTAGAGAGGTAACAAGGCTGTTCAGAGAAAACGGGACTCACTCATAGGCAGAGGGCCAAGAGTACTCAGTGCACCATGTAAATCCCTATTGATACTTGTGCTATCTTCCATTTTCTTAAGATTCTTAGTGGACCTCACTGCTCATTGTTAATTGTATGTGGAAAAAGAAAAAACAAAAACAAAACCATTTTTTAGAAATCCCTGCTCTGTTACTATGTTTTGAATAACCTGATTGAACTAGATTGAACAAATTGTATGGATGGAAACAAATAAAATGTTCTGTAGGTGCCTGCAAAAAAGTAATCGTTAAGAAGGGGTGGTCTGACATATCAGCAAACTCTTTAGTTTCGGGTGTTAGTGACTTCATTATCTTGATATCTTTGAAATCATAGCACCTGTGTAACAGCTTCTGTTTATACTATTAACTTAAGTAAAAGCTGACTGTGCATCCAGAGAAGACTTCTCTAATTTTCAAAGGAGAAAGTCTGACCTTGAACAAAAAGTGATTGTTACTTTATTAAAGTCCTCCATAATGAAAGACACTGAGCATGTGTCTCCTGCACTTTCTAACCTTTCATGATCCTCTCCTCAGCTTTCTGTTTCTTCCCATTCTCCAGGCTAAATATTCCTCAGGTTGATTTTATAAAGGATATTGCGGTATGTAAAACTTTTTAAATAAACAAAGTTTAAATAAAATTTCGGTTGTTTAATAATCTACTCTTTAATCATGTGGTAGATCAAAATTCCCAGACCAGTATACACATCTACTCTTTAATCATTTGGGAGATCAAAATTCCCAGACCAGTATACACTTGCATTTGTCAGTTGCATTGACAGAACTGCTGTCATAGCTAAGGAGAATAACCAAGAGAACAACTTATCACAGCTTTGACACAATCAATATTTAGGCTACTTGGCTTCCAATCCAGCAATCTGCTATTTTCTCATAGTCTGGCCATTGCAGGATCTACTCACTCTACATCAGGGCTTAAAAATAGTACATACAAGATTTTGAAATGTAACAGACCAGTCCCCTTGGAAAAGCAACTGAAGAGGTCTTTCTCTTGACTCTTTCAACTGCTCGCTATGACTATGATGCCAGGGGTTGGCAGTGAGTCATAGCACCAATCCCTTGGCTTAAAATTCCCCAGAGGAGGATGTTAATTCTCAGAACTGGAAGCAACAAATTAAACTGAGGAGTGGGGCTAAAAACATCTACAGTCACCTAACATAGATGACAGCAGTACTGGATAGTTAAGGTATAGCTATAAAAGCAGACACATAGGACCTGTTTCTTCCAGAAATAATTCCTGCCCTTCATTCTGTCTGCCAGAATATAGAGCAAAGTCATCTACTTCACAGCCTCGGATGTTTACCTTGGATGCGGTCTCTGAAGGGTTGGTCTTTTCAGCATCCAACACCACTTTCTCAAATAATTTTAGAAGCCATTTTTTGGATTTAGACCAGTTTCTGTAAAGAAAAGCAACAAACAAGAAGCACTTGACCGAGGCAGGATAAGCAACATTTCCTTTTCCATGAGAACTACTCCTTGCTTTCTTTGCAAAAGCCCCTGGGCAACAGTCAGTTGAACAACAGTCAGGTGTCAGTCTGACTGACAACAGGACTGGTTCACATGAAGAATACCAGATGCTCAGGGGCTGAGATGTCCACATTGACTCGGTCTCATCTTGCAGACAGGACCTGTGACTTGAGACTATCAGATTTTCATATCATTTCCAGCATAGTTTTGCAGTGTGACTTTGGACAGTTTGCTTAGGCCATTTTTTCCAGGAACGATACCCTCACTGAGAGTAGAAAGGTCTAATTTTTAAATTCTCTCTTCAGGTAGGTGCTTGGCGAGAGTACAAGGCCCAGGGCGCTGTCATGGCCCTTGACACTGACAGCTCTGCAAGGTCGTTGGTGTTTGGCCACCTCTGCATTCAC